AAATTATATTTAAATCATTTTTCCGACCTGACATAGCAGAGCCCGAGATGCCCAGGAAGTAACCATACGAGGAAGTAGGGACGTTTTTTGGTTGGGAAACTTCCCCATTAGTTTCCCTTCTAAGGGTTATTTATAATTTTATATATTTAATAATATAGATTTTAAATAAAAAATAATTATTATTTAGATGGCACAAAAATTTATAAAAAAATAATTAAAAAATTATATTTAAATCATTTTTCCGACCTGACATAGCAGAGCCCGAGATGCCCGGGAAGGAACCATACGAGAAAGTAGGGACGTTTTTTGGTTGGGGAACTTCCCCATTAGTTTCCCTTCTAAGGGTTATTTATAATTTTATATATTTTTATTAGTTAATATTATATAAAAAATATTATACCATTTAAATTATATAATATTAATTATTAGATAAAATACTTATATTTAGTCCGTCCTTCCTTATTTGATGTCCTTTATTTTATTATACATTTTGATTAAGAAAAATAAAGAGAAATTGAAGGAATGAGTGAAGAAATTTATCTTTTTATGCCTCTTTATTTCTCTCTCTCTCTCTCTTTTTTATTTAGATAAATTAATAAATTAAAAAAATAAAATAAAATAAATTCTCTTTTCCCTTTTTTTTTAAATAACAAGATAAAAAGAATTATATTTTTTTATTTTCTTCCCTTCATTTTTCTCCATTTAAACAAGTTATTATAATTTAATATATTTTAAATTATGAAACAGAGTTCTCAATTAAAAAAAAAAAAAAAAGCGATAGAAGTAGAGTGATAAAGTTGCGTCAAGACTCTCAAGCTACAGTGATGAGGTACCTTCCCAATTTGTCTGTTGCAACATTGATCATTGAACCACGGTTTGTGCATGTGGGCTGATGGGCCGCGATTTTAGTTGTGGGCCATTACTGAATCCAGAAAATGACAAACCCATCCGACATAACGGGCCCACCGAATCACGTGCCTTTCACTGCTAACCATCTCTGTTTTTGCTCTGTTTGTCATCTCCAAAACCAGTCTTACCATCTTCTTCCTCTGCAATGGAGAAACTCGTGGAAGTATTATCGGAGCAAGAAGTCCGTATAGACTTCGCGCTCAACTCCAAATGCCGGGCGAACGTTCTTCTGAGGTCCCTCTGTGCTTCTGCTCCGGTGGCTTTCAAGGTCCAAACGTCTTCCCCTCACAAGTTTCTGGTTAACCCACCATCTGGAATCATTTCTCCTTTGTCAAATACTACTCTCCAAATCATTCTCAAACCCCAAAGCCAGCTTCCGCCCAGTTTTCCGCGGTCTCACTCTGATCGTTTCCTCATCAAAACTGCCCAGTTCGAAGCGGACTTGGACCAGCCGGACTCACTCAATTCGTGGTTCTCCTCTAGGTCGACTCAGGATATCAAGCTTAAGGTAGCCTTCGTGGGACCCTTTCTCCTCCAACACGCGGTTGGGTGTGGGGATTTTGAGGCCGTCAGGAACATCCTCAAGCGGCAGAAATCGGTTTTGTCCTATTTGTCAACGGAGGAAGCAGAGTCACTCCTGCGAATTGCCACTGAGTTGGCTGATGCTGACGATATGGTGAATTTGCTCCTTGAAGCCGGTTTAAGGGTAGACGCAGGAGTGGAGATGAATAACGTAGGGTTTTTCACCGTGAATTCGAGGTCTGCGGTGGCTCCTGATCTGACGGAGGAGGCAGCGAGGTTCTCTAAGATGGCGGGATCCGAATCCTTCGATTGGGCAGTCAAGGAGAGGAGAACGCCGTTGCATTCGTCAGTGGGCGAGGGAAATATCCAGTGTGCTAAGGACGCCAAGAGCAAGGATGAGAAGAATGCGCTGTGCAGGGCCGCTGCAAATGGTGGTGACCGAAGGATGGTGGAGATGCCGCCGGAAAAGGGTACGGACCCCACCATTGCAGACGATCGCCGTTCACCTCTTGATGTTGCTCCCGCAAAAGGTTATGTAAGTGACTGTGGACTCCACTATTTCAACTTTTTTTTTTTTCAAAAAATTGTATTTAATTTGGATTTTTGTTGTTTTTAGAAAGAAGCCGCCGGGATTCTGGAAGGCGGAAAAGAACTGCTGACGGCGGCCAGACGAGGAGAAGTGGAACGTCTCCGCTTGCTTCTGCATAGAGGGGTAAACATTAATTACTGCGATCAGTATGGTTTGACTGCCCTGCACGCCGCTGCCATCAGAGGCAACAAAGACGTGGTTTTGATGCTCGTTGAATCAGGATTAGATTTGAATTGCCGAGATAATGAAGACCATGCGCCCCTGCATTTGGCCGTGGAGGGTGGCCATTTGGAGTTAGTTGAAACCTTGGTTGATATGGGAGCCAATGTTAACATCAAGAGCAAGAGAGGCGCGACGCCTCTGCACATGGCGGATGCCATGGGCTACACTGAGATCTCACAGTTCCTTGTAAAGAAGGGAGCCTCCCCTTCCATAGATTCATCTCAGTCTTTAAATTCAATGTAATTGTGTTCTTCCTTAATCATGATGATGCCCTATTATTCTTAAGTATTGAAAAGCATAGCAGGGGAAAATATGCATACGTTCCTAACAAGGAGATTAAACAATTCAACTGAGTGCTTGATTGATCTCCTTGAAAACAATATATGTTCCTAACAAGGAAAAGAAATCCCAGAAAGAATGGAACCAAGAAATCCAAAAAACAGCAACATGACAGCCAATATTGTGAACTTTACTTTTCCACATGACAGAACTCTTCAATGTTGAAAAATTGAATCAGTTGGTAACATGTATGCAACGTCAAATCTAACTAGTAAATATAAGTTTCCGGAGAAAGAAAAATGCCTCAGTGAAAAAATTGGTCACCATCAATTTTATTCCGTTATTCCAGGACCTGCATTCTCAACATCAACTTCTCCCATTCCTGTATCTTCCTCCTCCTCACTATCTTCATCTCCACTGACCTCTTCATTATCATTACGCAACTTAGCCATGTGCTCAGCAAGCAATTTATCATCCCGTTCACTCACCTTATATATCAATTGTATCATCATTATGTCAGACCATAAAGATAATGGAAATGTTTATCAAAAGCAAGCAAATTAAAATATGACACCAAATTCACAACAAAATGGATACTGAGGGATGCTAGATTTGTACTCAACTATTATGCAATTTGATTTAAAATAAGAAAATAGACACTCACTGCTCTTGGTGCCTCCTTAACGATTAGTTTACCCTTGTGCTCCTCTATTGCTTGAGTACAGGCTGCAATTGCTTTACCAAGAATAGCTATTCCTTGATCCTGCTCAACGCAGCAAGGAATGAAATAATTTCACAAATATGCAATAGCAACATGAACGAATGTGTTCAAGAAGATCAGCAAATAAGACCAGAACATTAAGATTCAGCTATGAATAATCAACCATATGGATATACATTCAACAGAGACAAATATCAGAAATTCATACAATAACAATCTATAGTTGTCTCTTGTTCTGCTTATAAGCTGAGTCTCTAATATGCAATTCATAGCATAAGGGATGTCTTAACAATATAAATTCAATAATTTCTTAGGGATACCAGTTGCTTTCCTTGAAATTGCACCATTTATTACCCAATGATGCCTTTTTGTCCTCTGGCAAAACAATCAAAGTTCTCAAGACAGCCTTTAATGCCACCTGCAAAGCTAGAATGACCCTAACATTTCAAAACCCTCTCGCTAATATAAGAATTCCTAGTGAACTGTGGACTTCTTTAACTCTCTCCCATCATTCATTACCCGAATTTCTATGTTTTTTCCCCTCATTAGGGCAATTAAATCTCTCAAAATTGGGATATATATTGTTTCCAAAAAGATCATTCTCTCAATTCAGGACAAGATTAAAAAATGCAATTGACATTTCATAAGTCTTACTTAGTAGATAGAACCTGAAACAGACACAAGACACCATAAGTAGTTTAAGATTTCATACTTAATTTCGATCATTTAATCAATGCCTTCTCAACTTATTAAACCATTTCACAACTTTCACAATGCTTCATAAGATCAAGATCAAGCAATTTTCATTAGCAAATAGAAAACACATGAAGCGCAAGTGATTGCTTTGCACCAGGAAAAAATGTCGAAAGGACGTTCATAGCAAGTGGAAGGCTGGATAAGAGTCTCAATTGAAAAGAGATAACGTGTGGACCTTGTCAAGAGTCTGAGTGGTAAGAACATAGAGTGGAGGTGCAACCAATTTTATCTTAACTGGGCAATCATCATTTCCAGCAGCCTCAGCCTTCCGCATGGCATCCTGAAAATTCAAGTATAAAATCTTTTAAAGAAAAACCGACAGACAAAAAGGGAAAGAAAGAAACTAGTCAACTATAGAATGGCCGGCAAAACAAAACTCCTCAAAACAGACTAGCATGTGGCACACACATGCAAATGCACTCATGGGCACGAACACAGAAAAACAGAGTGAGGAGAAGAAAGGAGAGTATAACCATATAAGACCTTAATGTGAAGCACTCCATCAAACTGGAAACACTTCATCTCAATATCAGCTCGAATCTTCAGAGGTTGTGGGGTCATTCTTCTCCTAATATTTTTTACCAAAGCATCTTTGATTTCCTCAGACACAGCAGGAACCACCTTAGTCACCTATGCAATCAGATATAGAAATGACCTTAATTATTGGGAGAAACAATATTGCAATTGCATATAACATTACAAAAGATAAGCTGACCTCTTGCCCATCAGGGCCAATTTCTTTCACTTCACGAGTGAGAGAATTCAACACAGAATCAGGATCAGACACAACGATTTTGAATGCCTGCACATAGAAAATTTAAGTACACAAACAAAACTGATGGTGATAGACTGAAAAGACTTCAGGAAAGGCTGCATATTCTCACCTCAAAAGCATGTCCATATTTTCTGTAGAGAGGCCAGCCAATATTGATGTATAATTCCTGGAACAAGTAACTGGAAATTATAAACAATCTAGGCGTCTCAACAACAAAGAATTACCAATAAGATCTATAGCCAATGTCTCACTGAAACTGCGTAAACCCTAAATAAAAACCCTACTCCAGCGGAAAAAGGAAATCCAAACTTACCTCCAAATCAATGCCCATAGTCTCGGCAACATGGCGCATGATAGAGTGAACCAGCTTGCTCTTGTTGTACCTCTCCTCACAAGCCTGAATATCCTCTTCACTAACCCTCCTCTTGCTCAAATCGATGTATCCCTTCTCCTTGTCAACACGAAGGACCATAACAGGCTCGATGCGGCCGACCTTGATCAGACTACTGACACTGCGAATTCGACGGCGGGAGAGCTCCGAGAACAAGATCATACCCTCGATGTTGTTGTACTCGAGCAAGGAGACGTAAGCCCCCATGTCGGCGATATTCTTGACTTGAATCATCACCGCCATGTCCACTTCGGGGTACTTCGCCTCGTACATCCGGCACTCCAAATTGGGTGTGTGAATCGCCATGGCTGTTGTTTGCTTCTGGTATTCGGTGTCTTAGCTTTTTGTTTCAGCGTTTAGTCTGCCTGAGCGTTTAGCGTGGGAGGCAGACGGTGTGAAATTGAAATGAAGTTGGGAAAATATGATTGTCAGTCCGGACTGAATACCTAATCAGTGCCAAAGTTTAATTAAGAGATTAAAAAAAATTAAAAAGAAGTCGTCAACAGCAGGATTCGAACCTGCGCAGGCAGAGCCCAACAGATTTCGAGTCTGTCTCCTTAACCACTCGGACATGTTGACAACTTTATAACACTTTTCAAAATAACTTAGTAAAAAATTAATATTTTAGGTAAATCAAGAAAATATACGCCTGTCTTGCG